CTTGGGTGCCTTAGCCAAGGGCCAAGACACCACTCCAGTGGTGTGCTGTATGACTAGAGGTTTAGAAGAGTTTCAAAGTCTGTTTCAAAGAGTATGAAGTATGACACAACAGCTGGACACAGTCAAACACATGCAAACAACGAGACGCTGCTGAGCAGCAGATTTAGCCATCAGCAACCTACACGTAAGGTCTCCTGCAGACAACTCAGCACTGGAGTGAGCACTAGGGAAGCAAATGCAACAGCTCTGCAGAGTTTCAGTGAGCTCCTCCTAAGTGAACATGCTAATTTGACAGTCTAACCACTAGGCAATGGAGGCTGATGTCCTGGCATCAGCCAGTTCAGTAGTGCAGTCTCTCAACGGCGAATGAGAGCTTGGTGCATAGGGCCTGGATAGGCTGTGAAGGGCCTTTGAAGAGAAGGCAAGCAGATTATACTTGATTTAACAAGGGAGGAACCAGATGAGAGATGCATAGCGGTGAACAGTTTCTGCTGAATCTCTCAGGTCTCTTGAGGTTTCTAAATTTCTTCAAGCCTCCTATCCCTCAATTCCCCCAGGGAGAGTCTGCTCGTCTTTACTGCCCACTTTTTAGAAGTCAGGTTTGAGATGGTTAGAGTTTAACCTGAATTCCTCTCCTCACATTAACCTAATGAAGTGTCCAAAGAGTAGTCTCAGGTACGCGCTGCCCAAATCTTAAGCTTGTGGGTATTCTTTGGTCCTAAAACCCTGCTGTGTATTTGTCACACGGGAGTAAAAATAAATAAGTAAATAATAACAAGAATACAAGCATGTTCCATGAAATGAAACAAAATGAATCACACAACTCATTCCATCGCAAAACACCCCATGGCCCTTCGACACTTCATCTGCAACAGTACCAACAGTGTTAGAATGGACAGGCCTCTAAGCACAGAACTAAAAGTGCCATAGGCTGTGTCTTTGCCACCTATGGCACCACCCTGAATCCACCTGTCGCTGGGCTTGAGGTTGGTGCATCCACACTGCTAAAAGGCGTGGACTTTGAATTCAAGCCAGTCTTGGGTTCAAGCATGCTTTGGGAGAGCAGGCTTGCTCATGCTGGCTTATACCTCCTCACACAGCCCCCTTGTTTGAGGGCAAGAGAGCTCGTTAGCAGCGTGAGCAATTGGGGAGGTTTGGTTTGACTATCAGCAAAAGTCCAGGGCTGAGAGGATGACAAATGGTAGGGACATACCCTACTTCCAGACGCCGGCCCAGGGGTCACAGGAACCGAATTCTAGTCCTGGTTCCCCACTGGCCTGGGTGCTCTTAGACAGCTCACCTGAACAGCTCCTCTGTCTTAGCTCCTTTGGCTACATGCGTTTCAGGGACAGGTTCTGGCGCAGGATTCGACTTAGAAAGCTGCCAGAGGGTGCTAGGAGAATGCTGAGCCCTATGGCGAGGCTAGCCTTCTGCTGCAGAAAGATAAACTTTTTAATATTGGCTGTTTTACACAGCAGACTAAAATAATGACATAATAAATGCTCCCTCTAAAACTTAGAGGCTTCCTTCATCAAGTAGCCGTAGACCCTGCCTTCCTCTGAGCCAAACACAAAGCCCTCTGAATCGATCGTGCCTGGAGGAGCAACTGGTGCGCTCTGTAGATCTGAGCTCCCACCCACTCCTTCACATAAACACTGACATTTATGGTGTCAGCTCAGGTCAGGAGACTGTGAAATGTCACCAACAACTGCCCAAAAGGACAACAGAGCAGTGACTTCGTCTCGCGGTCTGCTGGGCACACACATGCTGACCACAAGGGGATAAGGTCCTGGAGGGGTCAAGTGAGTCACTGAATGGCCACAAAAGGCCAGGGAGGTGGGGTGAGGGGCAAGCACATAGGGGCTTCCCTTAAAAAAAAAAAAAAAAGCTGAACAACGGGGTAGTTGTTTTAGCACAGAGAGGCCTTGGCAGTTAATGGCTTTGGCCCTGAGGGCAGGGCACCGAGTGAAGGAAGTGTTGGAGGGAGTAAATGGACACTTAGTAAAAAGGCAGGGGTAGGGAAGTGTAAAAGGAGGAGTGACGGGAGTCTGTTCCATGTCAGCAAACAGGAAACATCCTACTCTCAGATGTCAATGGCAGACCACATGGGGAAATTATCTTCACAAAGGGCCTGCGGCAGGCACACTTTAAAAGGTGCTCGATCTCCACTTCTGAGACCTTCGGACTCACAGCTCTGTATTCATTGCAGATTATACTAACAAGAATGCCCAGACTGATGCTTTGTTATCACCCAGAACTGGGAGGAGGGGAGTACCCCGAGTCATTGCAATGAAAATCTCAAGTCATGCGCCAGTCGTGAAATCAAACTTCAGCACGCAAAAACACATTACAAGAATGCAAAGAGTCTGGTAGGACTAAATAACACTATCGGACAAAAAAGGGGAAATGTATTTGATTAGCAAGTAAATCATCGTAACTTTTCATCATAATCATGACTGCCAAGGGTGGGTGGATACTGTACATGGACTGGTGAACACAGATTAATCTGAAGAACATTGCACACTTAGCCTCAGATCCTACGCGGACTTAAGCACGATCTTTCCCATTATGCACCAAGTGGAGATTCATGTTCCTGGATTGCTATTTCCAGTGTCTAAGCTCTGCGAGACGCTCATATCTTTGCAAGATGATGGTTTTTACTTGCAAATGTATTCTTAGTGTAGCCTCTCCTGAATTTGTATCCAGAAAGGTTTCCAGGAGGCTGGATTAAGAACAGAATGTTGATGAGTGATCTTCAAATTTTAGTACTATGGCTACTAAATTTAGAATTTTTACTCCGATTTTGTACAGTATCTCTCTAGTTGTATTCCAAAAAAACAAATCTACAGACTGTTACATGCTTTGTTCTGAGATCCAACTGAGTTTTTCTGAGCTGAGACACTTCACCATGAACAAAGACATCTCTGATAAGCCTCAAGTAGCAGAAGTGTTCATTCACAAAGACTACAGTGGGTCCAGCACAAAAGTCCAGATACTGGACAAAAAGAACAATCCTCTCTCTTAGAGAGGCCGGTACTTGGTAACAGCACTCAGACAGATGAGCAGGGGACAGACGTAGACATGAGATGGACTTGCTACTTGCAATTATTTATTCAGTATGGCCAAAATTCTTCAGTGCTAACTTCATTTCTTTGCACACACATTATACCTGCGCCTAAGAAAACCGAACAGCTGCCTCAGTACTTTCAGTCAGCTAATAATACGCCCACCTTGCAAGGAGACTTTCAAAGGCAGGAACAGCAAGCAGACCTCTTTGGAAAGCCTCTGTTTTTACAGCCTCTCCTGGGAGGTCACGAGGGGAGCTGCTGCCAGCCCATACTCAGCAGACTACAAGGGAGTGCTCAGTCCTTTGCTTGCAGCTCTGACATCGCCTCCTCCCACGATCACTGCGGCCAACATACTCACGTGCCTGCTGTCACTAAGGCCTGCACCTGTGTGCCGCCTTCATACGAGACTGCCCCCTCTGCCCTTGCAGCTAGTCAATGCCTATGTTTTAGGCATTTTTTTTAGAGAAAAAGCACCGTCACTAAGATTCATGCCATCTCACATGTGAAACACATGAGATGAAATTGTTGAAGCAGGAGGAAGGCTAGGAGCAAAGGACATAAATCTGGAGGAAAGCATGACTCACTAGTTTTATGGCCCCCAGAACAATCTGCATCTTAGGCAGAGAGAGCTAATTTAACAGCACTGTGCACATCTAGATACACATTCAACAGGCTCTGGTTCTGGATAGCGGCATAACACAAGACAAATGTCATCCTGGTAAAGATCAGCAAGAGGGTAAGTATAAAAAACTGTTGTCATGGTAGCACATCTCTATTCTGTTAGCTAAATGTACCTTCTTTTTCCCCTCCGCTAGTGACGATTAGCTTTTTCACCATGAAGACAGTCTGGCATTGCAACAGGTTGCCCAGAGAGGCTGTACAGTATTCATCCTTGGAGGTTTTCAAGATGCGACTGGACAAAAAGTCCTGAGTAACATGGCTTGACCTCATGGCTGACCCTGCTTTGAAGAAGACTAGAGACCTCGTGAGCTCTCTTCCAAACTGAACTATCCTATTAATTTTCACCTATGTAGTATCCCTATAAATCTGTTAATCTAGAGATGACAAAGTACAGTGAAACAGGATCCATGAGAAGAGGGGCTCTGTGATCTAATGGGGAGCACCACCAGAAAGTCTTACGGTAAATGCACTGGAGTGGGATGCATGAGACAGAGGTTCAACTAATGGCTCAGCTATAGGCTCTGGCTATGATCTTTCCAGCCTATTCCACTTATCAACTACTTAGGTAAGATTTTTGGCCAGAAAACACTATAGCTATATGTGTCTGCAGAAGCTTTTGTTGCATGTCTACACACTATGGTTAACTGTAACGCAGAGATTCCTACGCTGGTATTAAACACGCTAGCTTAGGTACTAGCCAGAGTCCAGCCAGGGCAGCAAGTAATTGCACAGGCTAATTTCTACTGCTTCTCAAGGGAGCTGCTTTGCTGAGGCCAAACCAGCAACAGTACCACAGCCTGTACCATTTAATGTGAGTACCAGTACCTCCCTAGTGCTTTGCTGTGTCTAGAGTAGATCTATCCCCAGTAAAGCTGAGGCTCTTGGATTCTACCCAGCACAGGTAACGTAAGCGATATGACGGTGGAGAAGAGTGCAATTTGGGACAGTGAGACAGACATTCACAATGTTGAACAGAGAGATCAGTGGATGCACTTCCACTGATCTTCAGGACAAAAGGAAGGACTCAGTGAATAATGCACGGGAAGTCACCTTAAGTACATAAGAAAAACAGCTGGAGGTGAATGGGAACATTGAGACTAAAAGACAAAGAGATCAAAGCAAACAATAAATTGCAATTAATTCTAAAAATCAAAAAGTGTGGTCCTTGTCTAAACCTGACAGATATGTGGGTCAGGCCTGCTCAGCACCAGCGCTCCTGGTGCGGGAACCTGTTGCAGCTATGAAACTCACCTCCATCCAGCAACAATTTGACTGTCACGTAGTCATCAGCAAGTACTGCGTAGTGTAGAGCTGTGCAGCCTTTGAAACTGGCTCTGATGTTCAAGCGGTTGTTGAAGTCATCCTCTCGCGTTACTAGGACTGCAGGGGAAGAAGAATCAAAGCTCAGCTCACCAAGCGAGACACACTAGAACTGCTTTGTCTGAACGTGCACTAGCAGCATGGACAGTCACCAAGGACCTGGAAGCTTATCAAAGTTCAGAGACGGTTAAGGACCTAATGACCTCTTTCAGGAGGCAATCAGGATTCCCATGGGGGTTTCTGGTCGTCATAATCCCCCCGCCACTGAGCAGCAGCAGAGATGAAGACAATACAGGTTTCAACAAATTCCAATCACTGCCTTCACTGTACTCACACAGGGAAGAAAACGGTTGGTGAAAGCCCAAGAGAAGAGATTTCAGCATCGGTCGAACCACAGCCTCTTTGCACCTTCTGCTGCTTCAAAGTGCAATCAGGATTTAACACAAGCAAGCAGTACAGAGATTTTTGTGTTTATTTCCCTTTTCCTGTCCAGAAGGGCCCGGAGAACCTCTGCACCTTCCTCCTCTCCCGGCCAAAATACAATCCCAGCAGTCTCTAACTGCTTAAGGCCAGAAGCGCAAAACACTAAAGCAAGCAAACCAAGAGAAAGCACGCAAACTAAGGGAAAGACACTGAGGGATGACAGTGCTACAGATCCTTGAGATAGCAGTCAGTTGGTAACGCCCCATGGATTTCCTCATAGTAATGCTAAAGCTTTCTTTTATTATACAGTTCTGATTTCTCATCCGCTCATCTCCACCAGGAACTGCCTCCTAAACTCCAAGCCTTCTGGAAATGCAAAAAGTAGCCATTTAAAAACAGGAACTCTTCTGGAAATATTTCCTTCATTAACTGGAAAGTAATATAGGTTAAAGTCCTACAGAGCACAATACTCGGCTTCAATTCTGCTCCCGTCTGCATCTATCTGCTTGCCATCTTTTGTTTGGTATTAAAACTGGCTGTTCTTTAGGACCAGGAGTTTTTATTCTGCACTCGCTTAGCCACCAGGACAGTTAAGCTCCATGAGGGGTGTTCCTAGATGCTACCAGGATAGAAATCATTCATAATAATATATTTTACAACTCATTAGAAAGTCTGGAATCCCCTAAGCACATGCAATTATAGCAAGCCCTGGCAGGTTTTGTAAAATCAGACCTGGAAGCTGTGATATTCCTTTGAATAGAAATTGATGCTTTCTAAAACTGATTCGTTATATTTTTTCTCCCCCTTGAGCTCTGCTCTATTGAACGCCAATGTGCATGGATACCTTGCAAAAGGGAAAGCTCTATGATTTGTGCTTGCAGGCCCGAGCAAAGCTGGTACAAGACCTTCCAGGGAGGACAAGGATAAGGACTGTGTGGTGAGACAAGCACACTGGAACACCAATTCTTCCCGATCAGGTGCAACAGCAAGGCAGACTTTGGACTGCAAAGTTAGAAGACTGGGGAATGCAGCAGATCAAACTGAGCTACAGGGACAATGGCTTTCTGCAGGGGAAACCAGCATCATGCTGGCCCCAAGTCCAACTCTAGCTAGATCTGCTCCCCTCCCCACAACACGTACACTAGCTAGGGAAGTGGCAGATGTGTATGCAAAGCCAGCTCATGCTCAGGTAATGTACCACGACTAGCAAAAGTGATTGAACTGTGTCATACAGGTAGAAGACCCCTATCAGGTAATACTGGGGTGCATCACTGTTTTCTGTTAAGTACAGGTCCAATCTGTTCCCAAGCACAGACTCAACAACATCTGCAAAATTTATGCACAAGCTTGTACTCAGACACAGAGAGAAAGAGAGCTGAAAGTGCTGCTACTGCTGATGCTCTGGTGCTAAACAAAGATCTATTTTTAGATGCCACTTCAAGAGGGGAGTGGGGGAATAATGTCCCAAGCCAGGATAAACTTCCTAGTACTTGAGCCCTTCAGTCTAATCATTAGCAACAATGAACAGTGGAACAAAAAGAGCTGCTCTTTGCAGGTATTGAAGGAAACAACACTACCAGCCTCTTGCCAGCCAGAAAGGGAAACTTCCAGGAGCAGAGAGGGCATCCTTACAACCTCGGTTCTGGGAGTATCAAAATGCTAGAGAGAAGCCAACCTAAGGTCTGTCCAGGATGGACAATCAAAGCCACCAAAGAAGCCAAATATTCCATGTTATAGTTGAAAATCCAACATGAACACTATTTTCACCTCTCAAGGAATCAAGCTTCCTATTCACCATCCTCATTCCCTCTTTTACCAACTCGCAGATGCTCTAACTCAGGGCTGCTTGTGCAGGTACTGCACTTTCTTCTGTATCTGATTTTTGAGGAAAGGCGGGCTGTCACACCCATCCCAGAATTAACAGAGACTAACCCTGTCCCGCTCACCTGGGACGTGCTGCAGGGGATAGACAAAAGGGCCGGGCAACAGGGCTAGGTCTAGCAGGCTTCAATCCTTCTCCCGAATTTTGAGGATATGAGGAAGCCCTTTGGAGCGCACAGCTCCACCAGGGAGCCTGCGTAATGAAGGTGCTTGCACGTGCTCTCTGTTGTTGAGCGCATGCCAACCAGCTGGTTGGCCACCTTCTGCTCTTGGATGCGTTTTCAGCTCTAAGGTGAATGGCTGTCTGTGTATACAGCTAAAATTGAGTAAGTCCATGTGCAGGGACTTTGCCACCTAGAACTCGGGAAAACTCTGAGCACCTAATACTTTGTAACAGTAAAGTGAACACAGACCATGGATCTAAAAACTATTGAAGATTTGAAAAGGTCTCATAGAAACAGAACAGAAAACATTGTAATGAATACCTGATGCCATTCTAGCCCAGCATCTCTGCTAATGAACCGCAGTAACTCAAGAAAAGATCAATTAATGCCCTGGCTCCTTTCCTTTCCTGGGTCTTCTCTCTAAGCATACAGGGTGAGTATGTATATTTATTTATTTGTCGTCATTTCCTACCCAGGGAGGGGCTGGATAATGAACTGCGTGCGTCAGGGAAGATGAATCTGAGATACTAGGGAGCAGTGCAGTAAAGAGATTAAAGTGTTATTATTGTTGGGCTTTTTCCCCCATGGTCCGTTGTGACAGCTCGGCCGTCATCTGTAAAAAATGTCTCAGAGAGAGATAATCATCGGAAACTCAATAAAGCGTCAGGGGAAGCCTCGTCTGCCATCAATCACTGGGTGCCTGGAAATTTTCAGCCCTCTGTCTCCCTTCCTGCCATCCATATAAATGTCTGTAATATATTTTGTGCAGTGTTTGTGGAGCATACCCTCTTGATTTGGATGTTTTTATGAAAAAATATTTATACTCGAAATATGTAAATGGGTAAAAAAAATAAAAGGCAAAGGCAGTTTCTCTCTCTCCTTCTCTTTTTTAAAATGCAACAGAATTTATTCTTTTTAATAAAACATGTCAACCAAAGAATTAATGCAACTTCTTACTGAATGGCCTTATCTTTTCCTCACCCCAAAATATATAACATTAGAGAGGGATGAATGCAGACAAAAACAATTAACTTTATTGGTTGATATACTTTGTCTTAAATAAAGTCTATGTACATGCATTATGTATTGGCATTCCATTGTTCATTTTTTAATGTTGTTTCATACATTTTGCATTCACTGCTACAGAAACCTGATATATGTGTGTTCTTACTTCCATCAAGGAGCAGGTCTATTGCGCGGGTGCGTTACAGTGAGGGATGAGAGCAGAGAGCTTTTAAAAATAAAATAATGCCCTATCAAAACTGTCCCCTCACTGATTCATCTTCTTAACTCAACCTGTGTTTTATCTAAGGAAGGTTCAAAGATTACACCTTCATTAGAATTTATGCAGCTTTCAGCTCTTAGAGCGGCACAAGCCACATATGGACCAACGGATAACGTCACTGCACTATTCTGGCTTTGCAAACAGCCAACAATGCAGGCAAAAGACTATATGCTCTGGACAACCTATGTGGTGTCCTCACATTTTTTCCTGACAATAAGCAGGAGAAGGGTTAATTTCTAAGTAGAAGGTCAGAGCACACAAAATGCAGTCAGTATGGACACAGCAATTCCCAGGCATGCCAGGAATCCCAGCAGCTGGCTCCGTTCTGCCAAGGTGGCAGGGAATGTCACCTTTGCTGGGTGATTCATCCTCCCTTTGCAGGGAAGGTCACCTTTGCTGACCCTGCTTGAGCAGGGGGGTTGGAGCAGATGATGTCCAGAAGTCCCTTCACACCCCAGCTACTCTGTCACTATGCGATTCTGTGAATGGCTTAAACACTCTTTACGCTAGGAAGTTACGTAACGTGGGCTGTAATCTTAGAGCTGGGGACAGCACGTCAGCTCAGCACTCGGATGGAGAAGAGGTCTCTGGAACATTTGAGTGAGGAAGGTAACAATCGGTGACATTTTAGCAAGGTCAAGTCTGCTTCAACATGCCAGGAATGGGAATAACATTGTGATGAGATTTCAACTTGAGATGACTGGCCAGGAAAAATTGTAACGAGATCAAATGAGACTGCAAAAATATTCTCCATTTCAATGTAAAGACTTCAAGACATGAAAGCTACCATTAGTGCCTGGCCAAAAACCAGCAACCGTTATTTGCAACCAGTTCACATGTCTTTCAGCTTTATTTCAATTGGATAAGTCTTCCTTCATTTTTTATCTATTTATAAGATCTAGAGTAAGGCTACTGGTGTAATACAGCTGCCTCGAACCCTTCTCCTTCCCCAGGAAGTGACTGCATTTGGGTCAATGGGATGATGCGCCTATCTACAACTTTGTATTATGTTCTGGCTGTATAAAAACAAGTTATCTCTAGGACATTGAAGGATTGCTTCTCATAAACATCTACATAATGTTTTCTCTCATCTCTAGACATACACCCACTCATGTATCATCAGTTACTCTGCATTTAAATGGAAGCTGAAGTTAGTCTAAAAACAAAAAAAAAAAGAGGTCAAATTTCCATTTCAAAGCCAGAAAACAAAATTTGGGGACCTCAAAAGCAAATGCAGATCCCTACCCATGAACAGTATTACCTTCTAAAGAATGGAGGCCTTTTTCCTTGGCAGTCTCATACACGCTGCTGAATTCATCTCCAAGGTTTGGATCAGCATCAGCTGCGAGTAGGATCTTCACCACACTGTTAAAGATTATAGAAAAACAAGGCAGAGATAGAACATGAGCGATCCCAGTCCTTCAGAGATTGAGAAGGAAGAGAGTGTTCAGAAAGCCCTCCTCAAACGTTCACAGCTAGCAAAGTTAAAGCAACAACTTTCATCAGACTTTTTAACAAATGAAACAACATCAGCATATTCTGAAAACAAATAGATGTGGCAGGGGTGACACTGTAGAGCCATGAGCTGTAAGAAACACAGCCCTCCCAAGGAGACCTGTGCAGACCATGCTCATGGCATGAGTTATATTTCCAGTCCACCATGGGAAACAGTTAAGTATAACTTTATAAGTCTGGTTCAGCGGCGGACCGTTCCCAACTGCAGCAAATGCACAGTCAGAGCCACATCTTGGCTACAACCCTGCCTCTGCAAAAAGGCAGATTCTTATAGCACTCTTCAGTTTCAGGCAAGCAAAGCTAAGTTGTGTAATTACTTGTGCTTTTGGGATGCAAACATTACTGACCTAAGTCTCCTTTATTAAAAGGTGCCATCACACCAAAACCAGTGTACAGCATTTCTGTATGAAGCATGACAAAAGGCAGAGGGCCTGGAAGGGGCCCATTCGTTCCCATGGTTCCCGCCCTACAATCTGTAGCATTCATTGAGTGGTATCCTCCGCACTGGGACAGCCAATGGAAGCTACCCTTGAAAAGGCATCTTTTGAATCCTTGTCAGTTATGAGAAAGAGCTCGTCTTTCTTAGCTTCTTTCTGCCCTCACAAGAGGAATCACTGACCTCAGTATTTCAAAAACCGTTATTTGCAACCAGTTCACATGTCTTTCAGCTTTATTTCAATTGGATAAGTCTTCCTTCATTTTTTATCTATTTATAAGATCTAGAGTAAGGCTACTGGTGTAATACAGCTGCCTCGAACCCTTCTCCTTCCCCAGGAAGTGACTGCATTTGGGTCAATGGGATGATGCGCCTATCTACAACTTTGTATTATGTTCTGGCTGTATAAAAACAAGTTATCTCTAGGACATTGAAGGATTGCTTCTCATAAACATCTACATAATGTTTTCTCTCATCTCTAGACATACACCCACTCATGTATCATCAGTTACTCTGCATTTAAATGGAAGCTGAAGTTAGTCTAAAAACAAAAAAAAAAAGAGGTCAAATTTCCATTTCAAAGCCAGAAAACAAAATTTGGGGACCTCAAAAGCAAATGCAGATCCCTACCCATGAACAGTATTACCTTCTAAAGAATGGAGGCCTTTTTCCTTGGCAGTCTCATACACGCTGCTGAATTCATCTCCAAGGTTTGGATCAGCATCAGCTGCGAGTAGGATCTTCACCACACTGTTAAAGATTATAGAAAAACAAGGCAGAGATAGAACATGAGCGATCCCAGTCCTTCAGAGATTGAGAAGGAAGAGAGTGTTCAGAAAGCCCTCCTCAAACGTTCACAGCTAGCAAAGTTAAAGCAACAACTTTCATCAGACTTTTTAACAAATGAAACAACATCAGCATATTCTGAAAACAAATAGATGTGGCAGGGGTGACACTGTAGAGCCATGAGCTGGAAGAAACACAGCCCTCCCAAGGAGACCTGTGCAGACCATGCTCATGGCATGAGTTATATTTCCAGTCCACCATGGGAAACAGTTAAGTATAACTTTATAAGTCTGGTTCAGCGGCGGACCGTTCCCAACTGCAGCAAATGCACAGTCAGAGCCACATCTTGGCTACAACCCTGCCTCTGCAAAAAGGCAGATTCTTATAGCACTCTTCAGTTTCAGGCAAGCAAAGCTAAGTTGTGTAATTACTTGTGCTTTTGGGATGCAAACATTACTGACCTAAGTCTCCTTTATTAAAAGGTGCCATCACACCAAAACCAGTGTACAGCATTTCTGTATGAAGCATGACAAAAGGCAGAGGGCCTGGAAGGGGCCCATTCGTTCCCATGGTTCCCGCCCTACAATCTGTAGCATTCATTGAGTGGTATCCTCCGCACTGGGACAGCCAATGGAAGCTACCCTCGAAAAGGCATCTTTTGAATCCTTGTCAGTTATGAGAAAGAGCTCGTCTTTCTTAGCTTCTTTCTGCCCTCACAAGAGGAATCACTGACCTCAGTATTTCAAAAACAGATTTCAATTACATGAATTATAGAGGATTCTGAAAGAAAAGCATTTGACCATTGCGTGAAGTCAAACCTCTGTCTCTGAGAACCAGACAATTCATATGAGATCACTCCTGGAGACACCCTGATCATCTGCAATCCAACTCAGCAGCTTCCAGGACTTTTGAAAGAGATTTAACCTCTGAGTTTCTAGAGAACTTCCCAATTATTTTATGTTGTAGCTGCAGTGCCCAGTGGAGAGACCAGCATGGCAACACAGGCAGGATATCCCGTACTACAACTATCCTACGCTATGGAACTGAGGCTTTCAGTCCCCAGACTTGTAATGTTATCAACATGCCACAGCAGGATAAATCAGCACAATGCAGACAGATCAGGGAATTTTGGCGTGGAAGTCCTCCATCTCTGCTTCTGAACCCAAACAATCATCAGGCAAGAATTAGATTTCTCACCACCTCTGAAAGCAGCTTGAAGCCAGTTAACTTTTAATTTTTTTTCCAGGGTTCAAGCTTTCCATGACAACTAGACAGTAACACGTTACTTAGTATTCATCACTGGTGACATGGCTCACGGGCTGACAGCGGTTCTCTGCGATGTGCACCGCGGACTGACTGACATGTATCTGCAGGCTGTGTCTTGTCAAGTCAGATTTAGAATTTAACTTAAGCTTCTCTCCCATTTATCCCATAAATGCATTAACAGAATAAAAGGTGGTTATTTTATTCTTTTATAAGCTACCACAGAGACACACTCCTTACTGGCATGGGTAAGTCTTCATTGCACAAAGTTACATCTAGTGGAGAAAGCACAAACTTGAAAAACAGCAGATCCTCCCCACCTCAATCTCTTGCATGATCACACAGAGTTCATTTATATCCATTTTTCAACAATGCTCTTAGTTCTAAAATATTCAGCTTGAGATGCACTGGATTTTATTCTTAAAACAGTGACTATTTAACTATGGTCCTTCACCATTTCAAGTGCAGTCATGAGCGCATGAGGCTTCTGAAGATTTTCTCAAATGCTTTTGAGTTGTCTACCCATGATCAAATTTTTCTGATGGTTTCGGACTGGCACGAAAGGGTAGGATTCGTCTCACCTACTTGTAGATATCAGCAATGTAGACCTCCGCTCTGCTGATCAGCCTGGCCCCCACTTCATTCAGCTAACACTAGCAAGCTGAAGTTTCCTACCTACTATAAAGGGAACTGAGCGTGAGCAGCTCAGACAGAAAGGCCTGCTTGAGGTGAGACCCGGAGAAACAACTGTTTTGCTTCATAGTGGGGCTCCAGGTCCATCAGAGCCAGCTGCAATTTGTGAATTCAGGGTGCGACTAGTATACCTGGAGTTCACCACACTTGGAAGGAAGGAGACAGTCCCCGAGATGGATAATGGGAAGCTAGTGCAAAAGCACCTGAGGCTCGGTTTGCAAAGATCACAGTCTGCCTTCCACAGTGGAAACCAGAGGGCAAAAAATGCTGTGAGATCTCAATGGATGCAGTGGAATCTAATTCACACAAGAGCATTAAGTGCCCCAGTCTTAACACTCAGGATATAAACCTCTAGACCGAGTCTCCATTAAGAAATGTGCTAGTTCTCCATCATTTGGATACCTCCAACTAGCTTTAATTTTCATTTAGTTCATCTGCTAGGTTTGGTCTTGGTGCAAGAGATTACCTACTATGTTCAGCCACGATGTAGCATAGTTCCAGCTCAATATAACCATATTTCTCATACTTCATCCTCTCAGAAAAGACAATTTACTGCAAGGGAAAAAACACTGATACAAAGGAATGCCCCTCTCCATGTTCACAAAAGCCACATCTCTACTGCTCTGCTAGGTTGCTCCTAAGGGTCACCTCAGTGAGGACATCTGAGGTGGGATCCAGCCCCACGGCAAGCCTGTAGGTCCTTCCAGACCACCTTAGGAGCATCCGCAAGGCATGGGGCACAACACCTATCCTAGAAGTCCTTCAACACCCCTAGCAAGGGCTTTTCAACATATGCACAGCTCCAGACTCACCTCCACTTCACAACTCCAATGTGCTGCCACATATAAAGGGATATTTGACCCTTTATACCTGCCTGATCTCACACCCCACCTGGCCTTTACCACTGACTTCTACAGCCTCTGCAAAATGGAAAGCAAGGGAGAGGTCTGGCTGCAAAGAAAGCCAAGTGAGCACGAGTGCATAGCCTTGGCTTTCCAGAACAGCTACAGTCAGAGCCTATAAGCCCAGGCCCTCCCACCACCCCTGGTCACCAGGCAGGTATAGGATGCCTGCCAACCTTATTCCCAGTGACTGGCTGCCAGTGCCAGGTGGGAGGGATGCCATCTGTTCAAGTGTGTGAAATAGGAGAAATAAAAATGCTGCAGCCAGGCTTTCTGCCTGGGCAAGCTCTAGCACAGGTCATAGATCTGAGCATAGTCCCTCTGGAAGATCTAGAGCGGGATTCTTCTGCTGATCTTCTGCTTCCCCAGTCCTTGATGTTACTGTGGTCAGCCCAGTAAGCAAGACAGCTGCGTTAGAGATTCTGAAGGCAGCCCCTATGGAAAGCAGGAGCTACAGGATAAGAGTATAGCGGAGCAGGTGCTGCCCTGTTGCCCTGGGGGATGTGCGTTGATGACCCCCGTGCTCCTCAAGATGGGGGGCTAAACAGAGTGTACCTCACGGGTGCTCCTAAGAGCAATGAGACTGGACGCTCCCACTGGCACACCCTTCTTGTACCCTGAAGCACTTTACAGAGCTGACACAGGATGGATGCTTGGGAACCTAATTTCAGAGTTTCCAGGCAGGCTAAAGATCTCACCATCACTGTGAATCACGTTCTCACCCTGTAAAGCTCAGGTGGGAGATTAGCTACTGAACAGGAAGCCATGCTTAGTGCAATCTGCCTCAGTTAACCCTTTGGTTATCCTGCCCCGGCAGCTGACTCAGTAGCATCGGTTACTGTGATTCTTGCACCAGGGCTTCCAGCACTGCATCTCCGGGGATGGCACCTAGTCCAGCTGGGCCTTTCCGATCTTTCAAGTCTCTAGCAGTACAGGTTCCGATATGCTCAAACCCTCCTTCCTGGACCTTCTCCTCATGGCAGTCAACACAGAATATCCTCTATTCCAGTTTAACCTGTTAGGTGATGATATAGTTTAAGCTCCACGCCTCTTCCTTATTTTAAAAGGAATGACCCCAAGTTCCAGTGTAGGACTTGGATCTGCAACCTTGCGGTCCATAGGTGAGATATGGGTACCGAATGAGTCATACGATAACAAACAATGACTTGCAATTGCTGTGGTAACTCCATCCATCACCTTTCCTGTTCTTAGTGACTACATTTAAAATTAATGTTCTTCCCAGGCGCTTTATCAGATATCACCTTCATCTGCTTTCAGTGGCTCAGGAAGCCTTTTCCTCTTCATTCACAGCATATACCTTGAGCATTACTCTCCCGGCAATGACCCTCTGAGTACCACACATGACAGAGGCAAGGTGGTCTAAGTGTGAAAATAGGAGGTTATGATGTCAGAACTGCTCAGCTCTCTCTGTTAATGACCTCATGCACCATTGCCCCCCAGCTGTAAAGCACAGATAAGAAATATTTCCTCAGTTCTTAAGATGGCTGGCAGGCTCCAGTTTTATAAGCACTGAGATGATTTCTTACTGGTAGTCTAGCCTCAGCGCTAAAACTTGGTGTTCCAAAACCCAGGCCCCGGATGACAGCTCTTTTTTTCAGGCTCTATGATCCAGTTTTGGAAACAGGAAGTGAAAAGGCCTCACTGGTCTAATAATAACGTGTTGTACATTCAACCTCTCTATCCAATCATCTTTCAATCTAACCTCCTGCTTTTGGGACAGGTAGTCCCCCCTGGGCACTTCTGAACCAGCCAGACGTTCCTGGAATCACAAATATTGATTGTACCTATCCAATTTGCAGGTAATGGGACATTCAAGCAAATTAGCCTTTAGGAAAGGCAACAGCGCCATGAAAACACAGAAAAACTGTGTTCATCAGTGTAAAGAATATGACTGTCATTGGGATAAGCAAGGGATTTACAAAAGTTGGATGACAGTCATAAAGCATGGTCTAGCAATCCAGTCCCTGGATTCTGCCATAATGGTGAGTAAACACCTCCCATTTCCCAGGGAGAACAGGGACAACTACTTCCCAATTTATAAGGCAATTGCAGGCTTAATTAAGGAAGCTATACGAAGCACTGTGA